TCATACAGCTTGCTTGAGGCAGAACTAATATTAGAATCTATATATTCTGACTCACTGTCTGTGCTTCTTCCACTGGGGCTATAGAAATACAAACAATTACACAGATAACTGAAGAGAAGCAAAAAACAAAAAATAAATAGGAATAATAGAACTTAATAGCAGACAAACTGTGGATGTTCAGTGTGAAAAATGGCTCTAGAGTTTGGCAAATTATGCTAACCCAGATCTCAGAGGTTAGAGCACACTAGCTTAATTATTTAACTCACACTAAATGCCTTAAACATTAAATAAATTCGCATGTTGTTGATGTAGTTATTTGCCATCGAGTTGACTTCAACTCATGGTGATCCCATGTGTGCAGAGTAGAACTGCTGCATAAGGTTTACAAGGCTGTGACCTTTAAAATCAGATCACTAAGCTTGTCTTCCAAAGCACTTCTGGGTGGGCTCGAACTGGCAAACTTTCAGCTAGTAGTTGAGTGCTTAACTATGTGCACCACCCAGAGACTCTGAAATCCACATACTCTGGTAAAAATTCTAAAATATTACTAAATTGTAGCTATAATTTACTGTTGCAGTATGTTGAGTATTTGGCTTCGTACTTTATCACTATGAAAATACTTTTCGTATTATCCCCGTTTTGCAAATAGGAAACTTAGGTTTAATTTTAGAAAAATATAGACATAGTCAGAAAATAACCCAAGTTTAATTACAAAATCCAGTTGTAGCCATTAAATTGGATTTCATAGTATCTGAGAATAATTAAAGAAATATATTTTTCCTTAATAATTCTCCTATGAATAAGTCAAGAAGAGATTGCAATGAAGAAGAGAACACAGAGAAACTTCCAAAATTTGTGTGGCCCAAGCCAAAATTATGAAGTAAATGTTTTTCCTTCATTTTTTAGCTTCTCCCTTCAGTACCTGCCCCTTTAGCAGTTATTCTTGGGCATTCTTATTATCCTTACTTATAGATTTCTCATTGACATTTTGCAGAACTCACCCCTTTTAGCTTCTCTTTCCCTGCCCTATGTGCCCAAGGTATTCTGCTCCCCTGTTATATATGCAAATGTCCTGATTTGTCTAACGCTAGTGAGGGAAGTTTTTTGCCTGTGACTAGAGGAGTGGTTGTTTCACATCAAACTCAAGAGGTAGTTCAGTATTTTGTATCCCAAATACATGAAAATTAAAGAAATATAAAATATAAAATTAAAGAAATATAAAATTTACTTAATATGTGTTTCATTTTATTTTAAGGGTATTGGAATAACTATACAGGGGACCCCTTTATGTTAGGACTGAATTTGAGGGCACACAGGTCTTAGTAATTATTTTACTATTGAGCAACTGATTTGCTTTTAGCTTTTGGGTTCTCTGAAACATTTATTTACCTGTTGATGATTTCCTCTTGCATTGGCTATGAGAAAGCTTAAGGCCCTGTATTGACCTACTGCTATCAAACGAACTTAAAACATGTGTTTTGCACTCTGAATAAACCCTTGACTTCATCTTTATTTTTTTAAGTGTAATTTTCTCTTAACCTTATTGAATCAATTTTACCTTAATGTATATATTTATTAATAAAAAACCCATTGCTGTCGAGTCGATTCCGAATCATACTGACCTCATAGGACAGAGTAGAATTGCCCCATAGGGTTTCCAAGGAGTGCTGGTGGATTCAAACTGCCAACCTTTCGGTTAGTAGCTGATCTCTTAATCACTGCACCACCAGGGCTCCATATTTATTGATAAGTAGAATTAAATTATTTTTGTAACAAAGCTAATTTTATCTGTATGTATGTATTCATATGCCTGCTTATATATATTCATGTACATATTTACATGCATATGCATGCATATATTCTCATACATACATATTTGCATATGTACACATTTAAAAATGGATCAGTATACGTATTAAAATACATTTTCTATCATTTAAAGGGACTATTTCCATGTGCAGATCCTTACTATTTTTTCCAGCAGTAGCTTCTCTTTCTTTCCCGTTTGTGGAAAATACCTGCTGTTCAGGGACTTCTCTTGTTCTCTGTGGCATTGGATAGATAATCCGGAAGGAGAATATTCTCTCCACGGTGTGGAGCTGGCTAACTAGAGTTAAATGACATAAATCTTGGAATCACTTGAAGTCAGTGGTGATCTCACAGTTCACTCTTCCTGTCACAGAACAGCTAGCTTTATGTTTTGGTCAAATTCAGAGACAAGTCACTACATTTGCCAATCCAAATTCAGTACACATTTCACAATGTGTATGTTTATTTTTCATTCTAATTTTATTGTTGTTAAATGCCATCTTCTTCCTGCGGGTATAACAGCAATTGCAGCTACAAGGAAATGAATCTTTATGTCATTAAAGAATATTGAAGCACAAATACAGACATTATTTTATGAGTAAGTAGTTTTATTTAGATGTATCAGGTCAAGTATTTTTAGTAGTAGAAACTTAAACTTGCTTAATTCTTACTAGTAGACTTGAAAGAAATTTGGTCATAGGGAGAAGACAGCATCAGATTATGAATCAGAAATCCTGGATCCCATTCAAAATTCTCCTGGAATTTAGTGTATAACTTTGGGCAAGGAAAGTGGTGCCCTCCCCAACCAACTCATTGGATTATTGTGAAAATGAGATGAAATCATTTGTAAAAAATACTCTGAAACTGTAAAGAGCTAGTCAAATCTAATGTATTCTTATTCTCTATCTTTTTTTGAAAAAAAGTACTGATTTCTGTCAGTGAGCACATTTTACTTTATTTCTGTCAGTTCTAACTGACTTGTGAGTATATTTAAGAATTCGGAATCTATTTTTATAAATGGAGTTAAGGTGTCAGGAACCTTGTCAACCACATTTGACATGACTTACGGTAAATTGATTTAGGATTTTTTTTTAAAAAAAATAATTACCATGGTTTTCTTTCCGTTACTGTTGTCCCACAGTGGTGGGAACCCCAGTGTTTCTAGTTGGAGTCACTTTCTCCATGGTTGATGAGATAGTTCTAGATCTACTTTTTGAAGACATACATGTACTTTAGATATTTGTCAGGTAGATATATTAAATCCAGTCCTCTCTTTTGCATTTGAAAGCAATAGCAAATAACTGAATGAAGATGGGAAAAAAATCCTGTTTCTATTCGTTTTTACGTATGCCTGTTCTCTTTAGGAAGGAGCCCTGGTGGTGCAGTAGTTAAGCACTCGGCTGCTAACTGAAAGATGGGAGATTTGAACCCACCAGTGGTTCTCTAGGAGAAAGACGTGGCAGTCTGCTTCCATAAAGATTTACAGCCTTGAAAGTCCTATAGGGCAGTTCTACTCTGCTCTGCGGGCTTGCTGTGAGTTGGAATCAACTCAACGGCACACAAAAATAACAACATTCTCTTCAGTGCATTCACACTGCTGCCAGGAAAATCCCCCACAGTGAGTCCCTTTGGGTCATGAGTGCCAAGGCCAGGTGTGCCTTGGCTCTGTTGCTAGTGGCAGCCACCAGAAGCCCTTAAAAATGGAAACTTTTATCTGGAAAATAGTTGTAACTTTAAGATATCCCCAGTCATGCTTTTTCTCCTTGCCCCACTAGTTCATTTAGATTTTCCACTGAGTTGAGATGTTTAAAATGATGGATCTAGTTGGTTCTAATCACTTTCTACTATCAAAAAATAAGAATCATTAAATCTTTACATGAGTTACTAAGCCAGGGGAGTATTATTCAATATTAGCACGCATGATCCGACTTGTACAAAAGCTAAGAAAATATTTCAAAGTCACCCAGTGTCAGGAGCAGAATGAGATCAGGACTTGAAGTGCTTAATTTGTTGTTCTCTCCTTAATTCATTTAGCCATCAAGCAAACCTCTACTAAATTGTCCTGTCAGATATAATAGAAAATAAATCTATTTAGGGAAAACATAATGGGAGAAAGATTAATTGGGGGCATTTTCTTTTAAAAGGGTGGAGTAACAGATCTCACAAAATTCAGAATTGTCAATGACTCTTCAGAGAGCCAGCAGATGACCACATTACAGTGTGTCAATCTTGTGGTAAGGTTCAGACAGGAAAGGTGTCTCTTACAAGACAAAGTAGTATGACCAGAGTTGAACATGTTGTTGAAGTCTTAGGCTAGTGCATAATTACTTGGCCAGTTTCTGACTTGGTATTAACTGTCTTAATTCAAACCTAAACTGGAAATATGTACAAAGAGACAATCTTTGGCACTTGCCAAATAATCAAACCCATTAGCGACCCTATAGGACAGAGTAGAACTGCCTCCAGAGGGTTTCCAAGGAGTGGTTGGTGGATTCAAATTGTCGAGCTTTGGTTAGCAGCTGAGTGCTTAACCACTCCGCCATCAGGGCTCCAAAACATGCCAGAGGTAGGAACTGGCAAGGTGTTTTGGTTTATTTTGTTTTATTGTAAGTTTAGGCAGAGTATGCACACTTGATCTCTTCTAGAAGCTTTTCCAAGAATTCCATCAGTGTAATTGGTGTGCTTGTGAGTACACACGTGCCTGCACACTCACAGCCACGGTAGTGATACTGCAAGTCAAGATGCCCCACCTCCACTGTCACCACCAGTACCGCATACTGAGTGTTCCAAAATCTCTAACAAATTGCCCTGGGCTGCTTCAAGCTCAGAGGGATTTGACTACACAGAAAGTATGTAAGGCTGTGTCTTGCTAGACCTGGAGAATCCCTAAAAAGCAACTGTACATGCCCACTTGTTATTGATGATCAACGACCCAGAACAGTCAAAAGTCAGTTAATAACATGTCACAGGGATACAGCTCTCCACTGGGCTATCTTCACGTCTACAGAAATAGCAATGTCTTTTCATCCTCTATCGGCCAGATCCAAATCTCTCTCTGTGAGACAAGAATGACCAGCCTGTACCCTATTGTCGCAGCAGTGCTGGTGAAAGATAAATGAATATATGCTGCTAATGACTTTGTGTGTGTGCTTCTTCCTTGTCCCTGTTGTCACCCAACAAAATCAACATAGCTTTAGTCCGACGTGCCATTTAGACCGGAGTCTTGGATTGATCTGTGATGAATGCCCTGTCGGGTACACAGGCCCACGCTGTGAGAGGTAAGCAGGCACTCCACTGTCTTTCAAAATGCTTTCTTCCTTGGGAGTTATAAAACCAGAGGCATTATCAACCTCTGCACTATCCCAGAAAAGCCACCACACTAGTGAGGTGAAATAAAGTTTCTCACCACACTTTTCAAACAAATGCTTTATATTTTTATAGTTTATTTGTTCTCTAGAAATTGCTTTATAAATCTCCATTCACTCAAAGAATGTTTGATTAATGTTTTACTCTTAAAGGTTAAGCATTAACCTATAATTTTTTTTAGAAAGTACTGCTCAAGTGGAAAGTTAGGTGCTTTAAGATTGATCTTACTGTCTATCTTGACACCATTTATTTTTCATAATCAGCTTTTTGTCCTTAAAATGTGGCTTAAATGTGTAGTTCATAGTTCAGCAAGTGCTCCATAATTTACCTTAAATATATTTGAAAATAGAAACAAAATGTAATTTATTATCATGATTTATGTTCTCTTCTAATTGCTCCTGAGCCAATATATTCCTGTAGATTTTACTAGACTGCTTTGCAGTGGAACCATGGATATTAGTTTATGTAATTTGTGTCCTTATTTTTCCTCCTGAAATGTTTTTGAAGAAAAGGTTCTTCTCTATATTTACTGTCGGTATGAAAATGCTACTAACTTCCCCTTGATATCATTGCCAAACATGACAAGCTCTGCTTTACCACTGAAAATAGCCCCCTTTGCCACCATCACTGCGGGAGCAGAGGAAGTGACCTGCTTTCACCCATCATCACCAAGGCTAACCCTGCAGGATTCTATTTATTCCTGTCCATTCCTGTGTTCTTGGCAGACCTCACCCCTATTTCAACCAGGGTGCATAAAGTTAATGAAGCAGGAGCCAATCCCCCAGAGAGAATTTAGCTAGCAGCCAGTCATCTGGGAACCAAATGCTAATGACAGTTTCTAACAGCAACAACTATTGTTTGTGAGTGTGACAGCATCTGTAAATTAGTATGGAAGAACAGAACTGGAATAAGTAGGATTTATTTACAATGAAACACATGGAGAAACCGGAGGTCTTTAACTGTGTTACAAAGAGAGAGAAAGAGATGGGGAAGGTATACATTGCTTACTATAATGGGAGAACAAATAATTGCCAAGACAGATTTACCTCAAATGCCTGATCCCCCAGCTCACTACAGGCAATTTTTTTTTTTTTTTTTTTTTTTAGCAAGTAGAAAATGACAGCTGCTTTCTCATACAAGGCCATTAAATCTGCTTATCTAGGTGAGCATAGTCTCTGATGCATTTATATTGTTTTGCTTCATGCCCTGTATTTTCTTTACATGTTAGACAATAGTTTCTGAACCACCTACAATTCAATATCCTACATTTTATTAAACAACCTTCTGTTTAGCAACTACTGTGTGCTAGTCATGGAGCTGGATGTCGAATATAAGCAGATGCATCATCCCCTCCTTGCCCTCAAGCAGCTCACATCTTTATTTAAAGTGGGTGAGAAGGGTCACATGAATTTTGGAGAGAATCTTAATCTAAATAATAAAAATCACAAAGGAAAGAAATAGCTGACAGAAGCATGATTTACTGTCTAAAATGTTTATTAATCTGGTTAAAAAGAAGACGGAAACATGCATATGCAGTTTAGCAAATGGCACATCTTATCTGCAAGTCAAATTTTTCAAAAACAGATCATCTTAAACTATTATTATATAGAAGATGTGATACTTTATTTTGCTAGCCAGTATTTGGATTATAGCTTTCCAGGAATATTTAGGACTGATCATTTCTCTGTGTTTATATGACCCCAAAAGTCCATAAGATGGATCCAAAATATTAGGAGAAACATTTTTTGAGATCTGTATGTTGAAGTGGAAGGGAGGGAGAATGTATGGAGGAGATATTGGTTACACTGAAAACTCTTGTCATCAAAACTACTCTGTAAGTGATTTGTGGAGTCAGTTTCTGTGTCTCACTTACATAGAATCAGCATTTAGAAACTAAGGCAGGTAAATGTTGCAGCTGACTAGTATGTAAAATATATCATTCCCGTGTATAAAGCAGGAAAATATTAAATAAATAACTTAAGGCAGGGCTTTCCAAACTGTGTGTTCCTGGAATAACGAATTCTGTGATCATGTAAATTTAAGAAGTATTCATTGTCATGCTGATAGTTCTAACATGTCTTGTAGTAAGGCAGTATGTTCAATTTGTTTAATTCGCCTTTCCTAAATTTATATGACCATAAATCCCCTGTCTCTCTTACGTAGCAAGCATATAAGTCAGACTATAGCGCAGGTGGGAGGTGCTAGACCTTAGAAACCTAATCTAAGTCAATGTAAAGTTTTTTTCCTCTCCTCCTACTCCCCCAGCTGGAATCAAAGTTCTAACAAGCTTACCTAATACCAAGGTGTGTATTGTGAGGACAAATGGTGGGGTCATCTAGCCCTGAGTCATTTATCCCAGCATGTTTCTACTTACATATTTCTTTTTTCTGACTTACTGATAACCTCTCCCTTCAGACCTATCAGCTCTCTCCACTACCTTCATACCATGCTTAGGGACACAGGAATCATTCTGCTTCTTTCATTCCACACTGGGACCCTACAGCTATACTCTCCTCAGTTCTGTATTCGTTTGCTCGGGCTGGCTAACAAATTACCAGAAACTGGGGGGTTTAAAACAACAAAACTTTATTCTCTCCAGTTCTGGACAATGAAAGTTCAAAGAGAAAATGGAAACTGGCATTAGCAGAATTATGCTCCCTCTCACCGTTCTAGGGAAGAGCCCTTCCTTGCCTCTTCCTAACTTCTTGTGCTCGCTGGCAATCCTTGGTGCTCTTCACTGGAAGCTGCATCACTCCAATTTCTGCCTCCATCTTGATATAGTCATTTTCCCTCTTTTGTGTCTGTGTAGAACACAGATTTTAGAATATAGGCTACAGATTTTAGCCAAAGTTGCTGAAAAGACAATTAATCAAATGAGATGAAAATCCCATCAATGTTGTTGCTTTCTTTTCTTCTTGCTGTTCCTCTGCTTTGTCAGTTTCTTTTGCATTCTCTCTCTTCCTCTAATATTGTTCCTAAATCATCAGTAACAACCAACATATAATATAACTACATGTGTTATCAGAAGTCCCATTTACGTTTAAGGTGTCCCTTCCCAAAATATTACAATTTGATTGGAAAGAAGTTAAGAATCGTGGCAAAGAACCTGGACTTTATTTTGTCAAAATGTCCTTCTTTAGCAGGGAATCCACTAAACTGTGTATTTAAACTGTCTTCATTCTGCCTTGCATATGGAAATGAGAGGGCTTGCAATTTCCAATTGCAGTTGGCGTTTGGTAGAGTGAAGAATCTGACAAGGTAGAAAGGTCGAAAGGACTGTGATTTATGCTAATTTTAATTGACCAGACCACAAAACCCTATTATTATTAAAAGAAGAGTTATATGATAAGCAGTATTGTAGCCACTGACCCTAGAATTATTTTTTAATTCCAAATGAAATATTTTCGTTAAGTTTCTAAGACTACTATTTTGTGTGTACAAATGCGCACATACACCAGGAATAAAACCTGAATGTAGAGAATGCTCCCACTTTCTGTAAAGGGATATATGAATTATCTACCATGTATAGTCACAAGTTTTCATTATATATCCTACAACAGAAATAAAAAGACATGTGCCTTTTTAGTCATTCTGTTTAATTAGTTATTTTCTCCACGAACTGAAGTTTTTTTTTTCTTTAATCTGTGAGAATTTTGGACTGTATTAATTAGTATTTATGTTAAGAAAAAGTCTTCGAGCTTGCTTTTAATACCATCTCTCCTGAGGGCAGTAAGTCATTTTGAGGAAAGTGAGCTGAAAATAATGGGTTTTTGTTGGCTATAATAATGATCATTTTATATCCTTATTCCAGTGGAGCAAAGTCTCAGCTCCTAGTGGGAAACAAAATGAGATGTGAATGTACATGTACCGGATCATAAGTCTTGAATATCAAATAAGGCAAGAAGAATTGGGTGAAAATTCAAAAGGATATTCTTATTATCTTTATTGAATACCATTCCTGAAAGTATTTTAGGGGAACTTTATGCATTAAAATGTTAGTTCATATTTTATGATAGAGAATTAATAAGCAATTATATTTGTAACATTATCCTTCCAAGCAATATTTATAAAAATGCCATCACAAAATTTTGTAAAATGTTTTGTGAATATAATTAAAACCAGTAATCTCCTCATTTAAAAAGTTATGATAAAAGCGTAAACCTATGAGGTTATTATGGCCCTTATAAATTTTCTAGAAAAGTTAGAATAATCACATTATTTGTCCGAAATCAATGACGTTGACATATAATTGTGATGGTATGGAAGTTTCTCCAAAATAATGAACTGGATTTCAGCCATTTCTATTTTAAATGGTAGAGAACATGTCTAAAAATAGGGACTTCTATATCTCTGACTACATGAGAATAAAAGTAGTTTACAAACTTGAGGAGATTATATTCCCCCATGTTGTTTTTGTTCTGCTTCAGCTTTGACCCGTGCTGCAAAAGACTTTGTATTCTGATAAGATGGTAGAAATGACAAAGCTAGCCTGACCAGAAGACTTTAGATGCCCTGTTTTCTTTCTCTGTTGGCAAGTGTGGCTTAATATGAAGCAGTGAGCAAATGTAACTGAAAGAGACGACTGACCAGAATATAAATAGGTGCTGCCTTTAAGGGTGCATCTATTCATTTGTCACTTTGAGTATCGTTTTAAAACATAACATTGAATCAAGGAAAATTTAATAATAGAATTTTTAAAATCTTCTTTGCCATGCCTTCTTTATTTTTCAATACTATGCAAAATAGTATTTGGTAATTAAGTAGAAAAGAAAAGACCACAAGTTTGCTAATATGGTGTTGTGGGCACAAGGGTACAATTAAAGATCACCTTATGGCATGTTACCTTAGTACGCAGGCATACCTTCTACTTCTCACTGGTAAAGACTTTTCAGTGAAAATCTGCCTCCGAATGAATATGCAAATACATACAAACCTATTTTAAACACACAGATACCCACAGAGATATTATTTTGGTGAGGACGCAAATAATGAGAATATTTTGAGTCATGATTTTCTATTTAATAAATTCTGAAGTCTCACTACCGAATTTCCTTGTGAGCGTGTTTCCTCATAACAAGCTCTTATTGCAACAGCAACAAAAAAATGTGAACCTTACATATTTGTACAGAAAACAACCAACTGGAGTAGATACATATGATGTGTTGTACTACAAAGGCTTTCCAACATGGACTTGCGCTCCTCCCAAGTGCCAGGAGCAGATTTCTTATTATGCTTTGGTCTCGTCTTCAGTGCCAGTGACAAGATTTCTTTCTTTCTTTTTTTTTTTCCTAGCTGAAATCTAATTACTAGTGGGGCTGGCAGGATTTCATCTTGTATCTACACTGCAGTTTTAGAAAAAAAGAAAAAAGACCTTTTTTTAAACACCTTGCATTTGAGAAAAGGAACCCTTAAAAGAAAAACCAATCATCTTGGGAGATGGGTGATGTGAAAGGTCTGTAAACATTGCCACTGATGGATTTCATGAATTTCCCCACTGATTTTTCACCTTAGGTGTGCAGAAGGCTATTTTGGTCAACCTTCTGTACCTGGAGGATCATGCCAGCCCTGCCAATGCAATGACAACCTTGACTTCTCCATCCCTGGCAGCTGTGACAGCTTGTCTGGCTCCTGTCTGATATGTAAGCCAGGTACAACAGGCAGCTATTGTGAGCTCTGTGCTGATGGATATTTTGGAGATGCGGTTGATGCAAAGAACTGTCAGCGTAAGTCCTGAACTATTGATGCCCCTGACGGAATTGATACATTTTACCTCAAAGTAGATGATGAGCTCTTGAGTGGGGACTGAAGAGTAGGAAATTATGTGTAATACAAATATACAGAATCTGCATAGTCTGAAATATTTCTTTGCAATGGCTAATAGAGTAAATCCTTTAAAAATTACTGCATTGCTGAAGTGTTTTTCAACTGACACATACTGGAATGGAATTTTTGAAATGAATTTATGTCCATAGCAGCGAAGAAAAATTTGGAAATAGGCCCCATTTTTCCTTTTCTGTTTATCTCAACTCTAAACCTTTCTTTGAAATAAATTTATTTGCCCATATTATTTCATTAGTACCTGTCAGTGGGTGACAATGGGTTATGCTTTCATATGTGCACTTTGCACTCTTGTATTTCACAAGAGGTGTAAACATTCTGTCGATAATTTTATGTACTGACAATTGTATATTACTGAGTGACTAATCTTCACCTTAGGGGTATTCATAGAATGCTATTTCTGTGCTTTCTTTCCATAAAATTAGCTGCCATACAGCTTCATCAGTATTAGAGTATTAGTAGATTCCACCCCTTATCTTCACCCTCTAAGCTGTATTTTACAGCGTTGCATAAAATTTACAACTCCTTTATATTAGTGATAATATAATATGTAAAGGAGATCTTGTTGTGTAAAGTCAAATATAATGTGAATCCACATTAGCGCACGAATGCTGTACGCTACCACCACCAGATCATCTGCTGTTATTATCTCTAGTCAAAGCAGTTTATGAGACCACCCAACAGTTTATTTCTGCCAAACTCATTACATAAGAAGGGGCTCTCTTAAGCACCTAGTTGTATCCCAGGACCTGCAGAATTGTGGAAACTGTTAAAAATATAGTCTGTCTTATAGTCTCTCCTGTAAGCACCAAAGATCTGGCAGGACACCCCATTTCAATAAGAAATGTGTCTCTCTCCTCATAAGACAGGAAGTTAAGTGCCAGTTTTTTTTTAATTTTTTTTATTTTTTGGCATTTAAAAATGACCATTTGTTGAATCAAAAACAAAACACTCAAGGTTTGTGTTCAGCCATGGGATCTCTCTGGAAAAATTCCTGTCTACTAATAGCACCTGTAAATCAATAAATTTTTAAAAGCAAAATTTCCAACAGTCTCAGAAGTGCTTTTTGAACACTGTAGCACCTGCATAAAATCATAGGGAGCTTAAGAAATTCTTTCACTCAGATAGATCATTCAGGACCTCTACTGCCTACCTGCATGACCCTAGGCAAGATATTTGACCTCCTGAGATTCAGTTTTCTCATCTACAAAAAAGGTCATTGATTTTCTGTGGGGATTAAAGGATCTAGCACATAGCAAGTACCCAGCAAGCTTCCTGGTGCCTGGGGATACTCATCCATGGTAGCTCTGTTGGTAGTAGTACTTGTAATAATCATGAGTATCAAGGTTCACTAATTCTGGGGACATGCAAATCATTGCATGCCTCTATCTCTGTTTTCCAGTAACCATTTCCATGCAAACTGAGGAGAGAATTCCATACATTTTATTTGGTGAACTAGTGATCTGTGGCATAAAGTCATAAGAACATGTGGAAGAATGTGTGAAACATTTTCAAACCATTACCAATTTTTACACTATCTAGATAAAATTTAGAAATATAAGAAACACATTTATTATTTGTTTTTATATTTTTTCCATATTTATAAATAGCTCTTCTATGCATAGATGGTAAGCCCTCATAAAAGAAAATTCATAAAATAAACCACAATTTTAGTTGCCTTTAGATTTGTTCATTAAATGCATACCATTACAAAGAAACATGTTTTGCTTTATAAATTTATGTATATTGTTTGTGTCATACTTTTAAACTTAAAAATGCCACTTAAAGTAATTCTGTATTACTTTTTGCCACTATTGCATTCATTACTTACCATCATATTTATGGTAAATTTATTTCCTACTCTAAGGAAAAAGTGACTTCTAAATTCTAAATTATTTAGGAATTTTAAAATGTATATATAATATGCCTAAGAAACTTACATAAAGTAAAACAAAAAAGCTCATTGCTGTCAAGTCAGTTCTGACTCATAGTGACCCTATAGGACAGAGTAGAACTGCTTCATAGGGTTTCCAAGGAGCAGCTGGTGGATTTGAACTGCCAGCCTTTTTGTTAGCAGCCAAGCTTTTAACCACTGTGTCACCAGAGCTCCCATAAAGTACATACAAAAATTCTAGTTTCCAAACACAAATGTATATTTTTAAAAAATCTTTTTTTTTAGCCTTTTCTCACACCACAGCTCTAGACTAACTACCCTTAGGCTGTCACCTGAGGAAAATGACTAAATGCTGAGGTAGGTTCTCAATGGCCAATGTACTGACATCAAGTTAGCAGTCACTAAAAGCCAAAACTTGCTGGAAGAAAAATCAAGCAGCTTTTAGAAAAGCAGAAAAAGAAAGTGAAACCTGGATCCAGATGAACAGAATAATAGGATAGGCTGAAGGAGTAGTTATTTATAATGTATTTAGAAGCTGTGGTCAAATCAAAATATTCGGACATTACACAAAATTTACCAAAACCATCTATGAATAGTCTAAATCCCTATGACATCACTCCCTCATGTTTTATTCCAGTATCAATGTAAGTATATGCACCACTAAAAATGCACTTGTAGAGTGCATTCTAATTGTGAACAGGACCCCTAAGTTTTCGGCTGATTCATTATATTGCAGAATAGCATTAGACAACTTCACAACAGAAAAATGACAAAAAATTACTTAAACCAAATATAGTTTCTATCTTTGGAGATAGTATATACATTTTAAAATAAGAGGTTTTTTTCTCTAAAATTATAATGCTATATACCTAATACACCAGAAAATAAATATTTTTTAACTTATGTACTTTTCTAATTTTAAAGGTATATATAGTTATTTTGCCTCAAGCTCATTTTTTTGAACTTAAAACAAAAACTGGTACATAGTGAATAATCATTCAATTGAAAAGAATTAATATGTTGCTTGATTAATGGTGATATTAATATGCTATTTTATTAATTTTGATAATTTCTCAAAATTTTGAATTACTTACAATGTAATTCTAATTTTTTTAAATTTCACTCCAATGTATGTATGAAGAAGTGAAACAGCTTGAGGAGTGATGGAAAGAACAGGGGACTGGTGTTCCAAACTCTGCTGTATCACCTACTAATCATGTAGCTTTGTATAGATTATGGCTGCTTTGAACTATGGTGTCCTCATTCTCAAAACTGGAATCATGATGATATTAGTATTTTAATAGCATATGATGTGCCAGGCATGGTGCTAACACTTTTAACGAATTATACCTATGGCTCGTAGAGTTGTTGTAAAGGATCAAATAATGAAATGCATAACAGAGCACTTAGCAAAGCAGAAAACATAGGGGTGAATGTTGTATTTGGGGTATGTTATTATTTAGCAAGACTGTTATGATGATTAAGAAGTTTTTCCTGAACACAGTTCTCTCCCCTCTTTGCAGCCTGTCGCTGTAATGTCAACGGCTCCTTCTCCGAGGTTTGCCACACTCAGACAGGACAGTGTGAGTGTAGACCCAATGTGCAAGGATGGAAGTGCGATGAGTGTAAGGTATGGAGGAGGCACTGACCCGGAACTGTTTCCTCCTTCAGATATTTTAATGGCCCTCAATGACATGTTTTATATGCCTTAGTATATTGAAAAAAGGGTAAAACGTTATCTAAATTTACGTGTAAAATTTCTGTCATCAGTGAAATTTTTTTTCTGATTAGAATGATATTTGCTGTATGTTATCATTTGACCTTCAACCTATATTTCCTTGGCAATTAATTTGTATAATATTTGCTGTAATTCAGATGTTTCCGAATTATAGCAAAAATCCTGTTCTGTGGAGAATAAAACACTCTTTCCTTTGCTTTTACATGTTTGGTAGAATAAAATGTTTCTCCCTTTGCTTTTAGCAAGCATTTTCTTCTAGTTCTATCCTTTAAAAATTAGTTCCAATGAGTATTCTACTTAATAAAATTTTTGTAAAGACACTAATCAAGGTAGATTTTAGATACATCATTTTGCTAAAATGAAATATTTAATTAAACTATGTTGCCCTTCATAGAGGTGATGGATTTGCACTTCCTCTTTCATATAAGGAAGTTTTATTGGTGATAAGATTGTTAAGCAGAAGCAAGAATTTCTTAGATGATAACTGGCCTTTCTGTAGGCAGATTTTAAAAGATCTGTTTCTATCTCTTGAATAATACCTTGTGCTCTTTTTTTTCATTTTATTTTTCTGTTGGCTTGGAAAGGCCAACACGTGGTGGGACCCAGAAAAGCAGTCCTGTGTGTTATGTGACTGTGATCCCGTTGGCTCTGTGTCACCGCAATGTGATATAACAGGACAATGTGTCTGTAGATCAGGCTTCATAGGCAAACTGTGCAACCTCGGCAGGCAGGCGCATCGACAAGAGGAACAGCCACAGAGAGCTCAACGAGTGCTGGGGTCTCCCCAGAGGTGGAGTTTCAGCAGCTCCAGCGGGTGCCCACGGGGAGCCTATCGGGCCCCACCTCCGGTAATCCCAGAGACACTGCATGGCTTATGCCTCAGCATGTTCTTAGCGTGTGGTGGCTGACATTCCCTGGTGGCATTTTATCCAATGACAGTTGCTAAGTGTGCAAATTGCCGATGCAAAAATTAGGCTATCTCTGATTGAAGCCTTGCCTTTTAAAAATAACTCTCCAGATGCTTTAAAGGTTATTTAGTTTCATAGGTTCATAAAAGTTTCCAACAACCATTGATTTGTAGAAATTAAAGAAAAAATTATTTTTAGGAACATACAGTTTTAGAAGTGGAAGGGTTCTCAAGTATCATTTGGAGCAAACACACTTATATGAATGAACAAATGAAGGGAAACCCGGCAAAGAAAGTGACTCGCCCAAGATAATTCAGCCCATTGATTACAATTGTGTGTCTCTACAACCACTTTCATGCATTTTTTCCCTTTCTTTACTTCATTTCTCCTCACCGTTTAGGCATTCTCCACATAGTTTATATTCTCACATTAATACCTGGCATTTTATCATACTTAATGATTTGGTACATTTCCCCATTATAATTTTGCTCCTGTATACAACAAATGGGGCCCTGGTGGCGCAGTGGTTAAGAGCTCGGCTGCAAGCCAAAAGGTCAGCAGTATGAATTCACCAGCTGCTTCTTGGAAACCCTATGGGGCAGTTCTACTCTGTCCTGTAAGGTCGCTGTGAGTTGGAACCAACTTAACAGCAACAGATTTTGTTGTTGTTTATACAAGAAACACATTTTCATACACCATAAATGTACAACGTACACAAAGTAAGGAAGGTTGCTTTCTACTACAAGAAAAGAGACTAGAATACCTGGAGTTTGGCTCCTGTTCAAACAGACCAAAAAAAAACCTTGGGAAGATCAAAGAGGGGAAGGGAAGGAGGAAGGGAAACAAAGAAGGAGGAAGGAAGAATGGAAGAAGTAGGTGCCTGGTTGAGTTGCAGAATAACAAGGGACAAGACTTGTCGGTGTAGAATCAGTCTGTGGGGAGGTGAGGAGAGGGAGTAGAAGAAGGCTTGAGTGAAGAAAACAGCAAAGGAGAAGAAAAAACTCATGTTTTCATTTTTTTGGCTCAAGATTGCATACTTTGAGAAAATAAGTTTTGATACGAGACATCAGATCAAATCCCAGATTCAGCAGTTCCTAGCTGTAAGATAAGTTATATAAATTGGTCTGTGATTCAACTTCTTCATCTCTGTAGGACTCATTATATAAGGTGTGTGTCTGTTTGAGTTATTTAAGAAGCAAAAGGCAAGAGACTTCCTGGGGGAAATGCCCGTGAAGGATGAAAGAGTTGACAGAGATAACCTTCTGTCTGTGATGCATGTCTGTTTCTTATGAAAGGAGAGAGGGAAAGAAGGATCGGGTAGAAAGAGACTCATACAGTGCATTCTGCCAAAATCTTGAAATCTGACCAGCTGATGAGAAGTGCCCCAGTAGAATTTGCCTATTAGAGGAATTCTGCATTGGGCAGGGAGGTTCTAGTTCCTTGTCATATCAATCATTGGCCGGGAGAAGTGTGACCTGGTTTGTGCTACTCCGGTGAGTCCAAAGAGATGAAACTGTAGGTTGTTAATCATCTACGCTCCCACAGCAAGTTCTCTTGGAGGGAATTCTGTTGAGGTATCTCCAGGGATGTCTCAGAGTAGGAGTGGTAACAGTGCATCAGACATGTACATGGAAAGTTCTTAGTAAACATTAGATATTATTACTATTATTATTACTATTGTTATTCAATGAAGATATTTTAAGATAAGTTTGTTTCTTTTAAAACAACAAATGAATTTAAGGTAAAAGAAAGGGTGGTAACTGATCAAAGCGTCTCCAAAGTATGAAATTAGCAGAAAATAAACTTTCATTCATGCCGTTTTCCTACTTTGTACAAAGCAGTGTTTTATCCTGACACTTTTTTTATCCTGAGGAAGTATCTATAGTAAAGGCCACAGACTCTGAAGTCAGTCTAGCTGATCTGGAATTCTGACTCCACAACTGGCTAGCTGAGTGACCTTAGGCAACTCACTTACCCTTTCTGTGCCTCAGTTTTACCACTCTGTAAAATGGTGATGATAAGAATGCCTATGTCACAGGGTTGCCGTCAGGATTAAATGAGTTCATATTTGTAAAGGACTTTAGAACAGTGCTTGGCATACAGTAAGCACTATGTAAGTGCTAGTTATTATTATTACTCTGAGTAAGAAGAATTTATGGGAGCCCTTCAAACTTCCTACTGAGACTTGACGGGCACTAATACCACATTAATATCAGTTAATCTCAGTTACTGACAAGGGATGTTAGCTCCTTAAATTTGCTTACTAGGTGTGTTTTCCATAGCCTTGGAAATAAATTTTTGAACACCAAATATATTAAAATTTTTATATTTTCGTAATATTTTATTTTGTTGTAACTAGCTTTTAAAACTACATTATTTAAATATTCGAAAAGTATGGTAGAGATATTTCTTCTTATGTATTTCCTTACATAATTTGCTTTGGATTTTTTTAAATGATAACTATGATTTAGAAGTTCCTTTAATATTTTATTGATTTATACATTATATGTATATTTATGTATTATACATATATGCGAAGTGAAGACAATTTAGGAAATAAAGACTAATGTAAAGTAGATTCCTGCTGCTCATATTGAAAGGAAAACCGTTTTAACACATTATGTTCTAGTCATTTTTCTATGTTTATATGTCTCAATTTGTGTGTCTCTATGGTATTTTAATTTTCATAGGTATGTATTTAGAATCATAGTGCATATATAATTTTGTATCTTGCTTTAAAAAATTTTACTAATGCTATATCCTAAGCATATTCATACCATTAAAACAGCTTCAAAACAGAATTTTAATGATCATATATCTCTTCATAACATGGATGTATCATAATTTATTCAACTATAATTGTAACATTGAACATGTAAGTGTCCCTACAGTTACAGTGATCAGTAATGCTGCAAGGCCATGTATGTGTATTAACCTTTGTCTGAATTTCTAATTATTTCCCTAGGACAGGTATCTAGAATTTTACACTGGTTTCCATTATATGAATAAAAATATTATATGTTTTAATTTTGCTTTATATAGTTGAATTTAATTTCAAAATAATGTATTAGGGCATTTGTTACAACACTTACACAATTTCTTATTTTATCCTGCAATGAAATCTGTGTTAGAATTAGAAATAAAAATAAGTCAGCAGTAAATATAAAGATTAAATGATTATAAAACTCAACCAACCCATTTTACGTTTAAAAAAATAAAACTATTCTTAGCTACAGTCATTTTAAAAGACTAGTTTTGAGTGTGATTTTGTTTTCTATAATTCATTTTTGATAGTTAAAATGAATGGCAAAAGTATATAATGATGCTTATTCATTTCTGTTTGGGTGGTTCACATTAAGAGGCAAGACTTATTTTTACCAAGAAGTAATTATTAAGTCTAATTTTCCAAAGTAGGAAATATTTTTACAAAGAAGTAATTACCAAGACTAATTTTTGAGATTAAAATATCATAAGAATGTGGCATACTTTCTATTAAAAAAGACAACCCTGACATACTTTACATAGAATGTAAGTTTTTCATTGTTCTAGTAGGAGTGATTTTTAATCTATCAACATTTTCGAACATAGTCACTCTAGGCCTGATGACATGTATGTCAAGAGAGTCAGCCAAAACTGGTAACGCAAACTTGACTATAGATTACTTTTTACAAACAGATAAGAGATATACATAAGAGGAAGTTATTAGAGAATGAAAGTTTCCCTTTACCCATCTCAATCTGGTAGTTTATACACATTCTCACAAATCAACGAATTGTTAGCAGTAAACTCCCCAAAAACTAGATGTTTGTGTAACCAATTGTTTTGTCAGTGTAGGCATAACCTCTGACTTACATTTATAATGTGATTCCTTTGATGAAGGCTAGAATTATTTATGGATATATGACAAAAAGTAGATGAAATATTAGGGGGAAAAGATTTTAATTTTAGTCTGCTGGTCAATAATATTGAGAGCATTTTTACCAAGTAGAAAGACCTAATATGATCTGTAAGTAATCAGTTCAGATTATTAGGAATGAAGCAAGTAAATTTTTCAATTAAAACTGGGATTACCAGCCGTACATAGCTTATTTCCACATTGCTGATAGAACCTTGGGAGATACAGGGAAACACTAGTGAAAATCTAACAGAAGGAAAGATAATGCCCTAATTCTGTCATTAGTCCTGATGGGATTTCAAAGTAATTGAACCCTTCTTTGGTGGCCCACTGGTTAAGTGCTACAACTGCTAACCAAAAGGTTGGCAGTCTGAATCCACCAGCCGCTCCTTGGAAACTCTAGGGGGCAGTTCTGCTCTGTCCTGTAGGATCGCTATGAGTCAGAATCGACTTGATGGCAACAGGTTTTTTTGGACGTGGTAGAAAAGTCCATTATATTAAATGACAACCCAATTGTAATAACCTCCAGGAAGAACCCTGATAACACATAGATTCTTTTTTTCTGCCTAATCTTTTGGTGCTGTGCATTGTGTTTTATTGTTAATTAGTTGATATAAATGTAATTTGTCTCCATCCTCTTCTATACCAGCCTGAGACTTTTGGCCTAAAATCAGCAAGGGGATGTGTTCCCTGCAACTGCAATTCCTTTGGGTCTAAATCTTTCGACTGTGAAGAGAGTGGACAATGCTGGTGCCAGCCTGGAGTAACAGGAAAGAAATGTGACCGTTGTGCCCATGGCTATTTCAGATTCCAAGAAGGAGGATGCACAGGTCTGTAAATAAGACTTAACTCCTACCTACTCATCTGCTGGTTTGCTGTGTTGGCTTCTATAACAGTTTGTTCTCTAAAGGAAATGCACATGACAACAAATGTTTGATACAAAATATTTAACTTGATAAGTAATATATATATTTAATAATCCAAAATAATTAACAAATGTAAAATGTTGCAACTTGAAGTTCTGCCTTATAAATAACTGTGGTTGCAAGTAATAAAAAAAACTGATAAAAATCCTCAGCAAATCCCTATCCTGGCGTGCCTCTTCTTGACGATGACCTCAGTTGAACCAGTCCCTCAAGGCGGCTACAGCTTGCAAGTCAAATGTTCCTTTTTTCTGGGTGCCAAAGCTAGCTTAAACTCTACTCCTAAGATAACACAGTTCAACTTTTTCCTTTTAAAAAAAATTAGTACAAGGAACAGGGAAGTTGATTTTTTTATTCTGGTCCAAAAAAAAAAAGTTTTCATCTATTTTCAGGAGCCTTGAAAACTGTGATGTTATGAGAAAGAAGCATGTTGGCTCTAGATAGCTGTTGTTGTTGTTAGGTGCCATCAAGTAGGTTCCAACTCATAGTGACCCTGTGCACAACAGAACCAAACACTGCCCAGTCCTGCACCATCCGCACAATCTTTGTTATGCTTGATAGTTGTTAGTTCATGAGAAAACGCAGGTAGAGGTCTCTAACCATGATTGTCTTAAGCAGTATTCTCATGTGTCCAGCCCCAGCCTTCCCATAAATCTTGAATGAAGACAATAGGAAATAGCGCACTATAGAGGAAAGTAAGGATGGAACATTAGCCTTAATTTATATGCCACTTAGAACTGGCCCTTATTCTGACAATCACTAAGCTGAATGTGACCTTTGCTTACTAACTCCCTGATTAAGCATTGATGATTCCCCTATACCCTCAGCACTGTAATAAACACATTGTAAGATTTTAAGACATTATTGTTGACTAATGTAACAAATTTATGTCAAAAACAGCAGGAATAACACTTAAAATTATTTGAAGAACCAATACCTTTAAGATATTCTCAAGCACTTTAGATATAGTTTTTATTATAAAGTCACATTACAAATTATTCTACATGTTATAATTGTAGATCCTCATAGAATCCATTTGTAATCTCCCGGTCAATATCTCTATATACTAAAAAATAAATCTGCTTTTGAAAATATACTCTGTTCTGTTCTTTAAATCAAATTCTCACTAACATTTTCACTTAATAGGAATTAATGAGATGGAAATTTACATTCAAATATTATCCACTACAAGAAATTATAAATGGGACCAAGAATATTATTTAAAATTATGAAATGATGATAACATGTAGACATAGTAAGCATTCTAACCCAGAGAAACAGAACAGGAAAATAAAAAAAAAAGCACAAAACGAGCAGAATGGCGTTGTGGTTGAGACCATGACTTGAGACAGATGATCTGGATTTGTCTAGTGGCTCCACCGGTAAGTGGTTATGTGACCCTTACTGATTGACTTAGCCTTTCTGCCTTCAGCAAAATGCATCTATTAAATGAAGTATCTACTTCATATGGTTTTGTGAGAGTTAGTTTCATTAATGGTTATAATATATTTAAAATAGTGCTTGGCACATAAGTCCTATGTAAGTGTTTATTATTACCATTATTTCTTTATTAGTATTATTAATTGTAGAAAACATTCTGTCTTTTGACAGGGAAAAACTAGTGAATTAACCAGGTTTTTTCCCATTTGGTATTATGATTCCACCGAAGAACTATTCAGAGAATTTCTAATCACAAGTAATGGTTTGAACTCTCCTAAGACGTTCTTCAGCACATATATTTAAATATAATGTTAACTGTTTTTCTTCTTAATGAATGGTACATATAAAATAAATCCTTTGACTTAAAATTGGCAATGACAATAATAATAACAAAAACAACAACTACCAACATTTATTTAGTGCTTACTCTGTGTCAAGCGTTGTGCCAAACATTTTTCACAGCTGGTATGGAATGCTGTGAGCAAAGATAATTGTGATCCCTTAAAAAGCTAACTTAATCAAATATTTTAAATGTATTCAGTTAAAAAGATTTAATCATTATATACCAATCAAAAGGTATGTAGCTTAGTAGTTTGGTCAATTATAATGAATAAGTGAAATACACTCCTTGTCTTGGATGGCTTTGACTATCTTCTCAAACCTTACCTTTTCATCCTCTGTGGAAATGCAGTGAATAATAATGAATTTTGCACTCTTCATATATCACAACATATCAAAGTAAATGAAGAAGCTATTGGAAAGAAATAAGGCAGGTGGTAAATAAAAGTCAACAAATATCTTCATATATTGATGGTGTCCATAACTTGACTGTTTTTAAATATTTGCAAAACTAGATTATCCTGATGTGTGTCATTTATAACTACATCCATGACACTGAAATTTAAGAAACCTATTAAGCTTATTGGGTTTTTGTTGCAAATAAAGGTCATTCACAGGCAGGAAAAATTAATCTATATAGCATAGAAAATTTAGTAATGAACTTCAGCATAGAAACAAAATTTTAACTTTGTAGCATCTAGGTAATACAATTAACGTGGAATCTGATACACCAGTGCTTTCTTTTCCTAAATGTACCTGAAAAGCTGGAAATGCTTTAACTTTTGAAATATTAAATTAAATACAACATGTATTTATTGAACAACTCCTTTGTCAAATATGTGGTACTATGATATAAAAGATGAATGAACTAAGTTTTTATTTTCAAGGACCTTTAAACATAGTATAGAGAATAAGACAACACAAACCACCACAATAAAAACTCAATACTTTATATCAAATTTCACTATTTTTTTTTTCTTTTTGCCCTTCTTTGTTTTCCCACTTCCACCTGTGAAGCTTGTGACTGTGCGCATTTGGGTAATAACTGTGACCCCAAGACTGGTCGATGCATTTGCCCTCCCAATACTATTGGAGAGAAGTGTTCTAAATGTGCACCCAACACCTGGGGCCACAGCATTATCAGTGGTTGTAAGGTAAGTTATCACTTTATTTCTTCTGATAATATTTTAAAATTCTCTCTTGGTAGAGTTTTGCCATTGGATATCACGAAACCCAAAATTATATTACACCACCATATAAAACTATGAATATAGTGTGAATATAGTAGAATTATTTCCATCTTTCTTTGAGCTCTGGGAGTTTTTCAGTTTAGAGTTTTCCAGTATTTTTCCCCCAACTTCATGGAATTTCATCCCATGCATTCACCAGCAGTACTTAGCCAAAAACTCAAGGGAACCTATCTTCAGATCTCTGGAGTTCTGTGTGCAAAGCCCTCCTTTGTGAACACAGATTCTGTTTGCTCTGTAAATGCTAACTGCCTCACCCTCTCCAAACTTCACTCTCTGTCTACTCAGCTATAGTGCTGGGCTTTGTTTGAATTCCTCCTGAGTTGCAGCCTAGAAACTGCCTCCATCCGCAACCTTATTTGTTTCCCTTCAGTCGGAAATCACAGTCCTGTGCTTCCTGATGTCCAGTGTCTGAAAAATGCTGTTCTTTTTAAAATTTACCTCTTTATTTATATTTATTTGGTTTGCAGTTTTTTATGGCAGGAGAGAAATTCTTCTAGCAGCTAATTCTTCCTTGACAGAAAAGAAACAGATAACGTTAACTTTTCAACATCTTGAGTTTAGGGTACCTCTGGGACACTTGACTAGCAAGAAATTAAAAATGTGGAACTAGAGTTCAGCAAGGTGTTTGTGTTAGAAATTTATATAGGTTGATCACATAAGCAATTAGAATCCTCAGGGAATGTATAAAGTTCAAAGAAAAGAGGGTTGAAATGGAGCACTTAAAATATGGCCAGGGAATGCAGATCCTTCATGGAAACTTGAGAAGGAACAGCTTTAAAAAGTGTAGGTAAACCATGTAACTGTTGTAAAATCTAAGCAGAAGAGAATATTCAAAGGAAGGAATGTGTTTCAGTGTCAAATGCAGCACAGAAGGCCAGTATGATTAGGACTTAACTTTGTCCATTAAATTTATGAGCTTTGAGTAAATCAGGGCATTGTTGATGTTAGTTAAGAGTCATTCCAGTTAATCGTATTCAGTTGAGGAGTATTGGAACGTGATGACCAAATGTAGCCTGTTTGACCCCATGGTAATGCTCTTTAGAGATTTACACTAGTTTTTTCTACTTCTTGTTGTTGTTGTTAGGTGCCATTGAGTCAGTAGCGACTCACAGCGACCCTATGTACAACAGAAGGAAACACGGCCTGGTCCTGTGCCATCCTCACAATCACTGTTATGCTTGAGCCCATTGTTGCAGCCACTGTGTCAATCTATCACATTGAGGGTCTTTTTTTCACTGACCCTCTACTTTTTCTACTTAGCATACATGAAATAGTAGAGTCCACCTGTTTTTACTTATATCTGAGTACAGTGGTCTAGAAACAACAGAGGAGAACAAGAATTCTGGTGATAGAAATAAGTTCAGAAGTTTGACTGCTTAAACATGTGCTCAGAGACGATAAAAACTAGAGGACTCTCATTTTTCCATTGCCGATGGCAGTATGGAGCTTGAAGTCCTGAATGGCTCTATCTTTGGAAACAAACAAAATTTCTCAAGAAATTCACATTTTTTTGAGTTGAAAAATGCCATAAGTCTGTATCACTTTTTAGATTTCTTGCTTTGAATCCAAACATCTCTCCTATTAATTTGACTCATGAATAAGCATTAAAGAAACTTATGAGGCTTCCATAATATCATCAAAATCCTAGTGATGTGGCCAAACTCTAATGAACTCCTGAAAGGGAAGCTGATGCCTAATGTTCATTATCTAAATCAGGATGGAATACAGGCAAATTCCCAAAACAAACAAACCGAAAAAAGAAAAGCCCTAATTAAATGCTTGATGTCGTTATTTTTGTAGATCGTTGATTTAGCATTTATATAATTGAAGTTGATTAAAATGTCTTGGATTACTTTAAACCACTGTTAAGAATCTAAATTTCTGAATAGCTAGACATTATGAACAATAAGAAAATTATATATGTATTTATGAGCATATATTCTACTATTTAAAAAATTTGGGTGACTATAATCTAAATGAACAGTGATTTGAGATTTATAGCTTCCCTTTCTTGTGTCATGGATGATTTCTCTGTGCTGAGGTCTGAGCACACACATCATTTGAGCTTTTATTGAAGTAGACTACAAAGCCTGCCATCCTTCACTAGCAGGGGAAGAGTGCATAAATTCTCTATTGCTAAACAAACACTGCATGTAATTATGATTTAAGTTTTCATGTTGCTTGTAGTGCTATCTAAACATATGGTTAATAGTCTCATTTATCTTTCACTATATCTTCCTGAGTAAACTTCCTGATTTGGAAAGGTCCCCATGTCTATTTGTACGAACCATTCCTTAAGAATTAGTACTTTGGTTTATACAGCAAATTGTGGAGCAAATATGACAAATTTTAGTTATTTAAAGGATGCTTCACAAGATTGTTTTTATTTATTGCATGATTATAGTTTCCATAACATATCATGATTTTCTATTTCTGATCGTGGCCCATTTTGTTTGAGTCAATACATACTCAAAGTGATTGGCAGGGAACATTTATTTAAAAGAATGAGTCAATCATTCTAATTTTGAAATCTTACTGTATATCTGATGTCTATAAGAATGAGTTATTTGGGAGACTGCAGTGAGTTATTCTATACATTAGAAGCTATGTCCACCTTTGTAATATAATAAATAATCACGTTTTGGATCTTTGGGTTTAAAATAATATCTAGCTAGCAACCCACCCTGCAGTCTTTTTAACTGGCTGTCAATGAAGACATAGAAAATACCAAATGTAAAAACATCAAAAATGAGGCCTGACGTTTATTTTAATATTAGAATATGATAATATTTTTCACCAAATATTTGAGCAGGGAAGATTGAGGAGAAACAGGTGGTTGTACAACACAACCTAGAAAGAGGAGTTCCATACATAAACTACTGTTGTCAGGAGCAGAAGTAGGAATATCCCTGGCAGTGGTGGACATAAGAATTAAGCTGAGTGGGGAAAGTGTGAGATACACAAAGTGAAATTCAGCCAGACTTGAATTTGGGAATTTGGCAAGTTATGGTAATATGTGGATGAGCTTCCATAGAGCTGTAGATCTGAGAAGGATAATAAACAGCAACAAAAAGACCTGGGTTACAGGCAAACTACACAGAGAAAGTAAAACAGAAATTTTTATAAAGGAAAAGTAGAGTAGAAATAATTGTTAACTAGTAGAAGGTGATTAGTTGCTATAAAAGGGTAAAAGAGGACTGACTGTAAGGGGCTCAGAAGTAGCTGGTGCAAAAGAGCAGCTACGACCTCAAAGAAGGCTGAGGGAATGGATGGTAAAGGAACTAAGGACTAGGAGAGGCCATTCCCCCCACCTCCCAATCTGAGATTCAGACCTCTTTGAAGAGGGTGCAGCTATCATGAGAACATATAGCCTAATGGTGGTAAAAATAAATAAATAAATAAAACTTTCCGGAGTTTGTAGGCAAGTTCTGGTCTATAAATGCTGCCCACCATAGCTGAAGGGTTTGAGAAGACTGGAGCTATTTGGAAGCAACTTGTCATTGTCAAAATTATGTGTAGGCTAGAGCTACCCAGAAGCTGCCTATGAGTAGAGAGTGGTCTGAGGGCACAGTTGGGATTTTTTTCCTGGGTCACTGGGCTCCCATGTTAAATAGAGTAATAATAATAATAATGTAGGACTAAAGCCCAGAAAGAAAATGTCATCCCACCAATATGGCATTCTTGCTCCTTCCAGGACCCTTTATCAACTAAGCCTAACATTCCACACCCGGTCATGAACAAATGTTTATAGGGTCCAGCTACAATATCATGAGGTAGGACAAAGAAGGGTAAATTTGGAAGTAGGAGACAATGGATTGGTAACTAGCATAGCTGGCCTATGAAAACAATTTATTTCAAAATCCTAAATGACATTTTAGAAATCCATTTGGCATTTTTAGTTAATTGCAAGAAGATATGAGTTCTGTCAATCAAGAGCAGAAAGCCCTTAAAAGGAGAATATAAGATGGAAACACAAGAGACTGAACAGAAATTCAAGATGAATGAGGTGAAATTAAGGAAAGGATTAAAAAGAAACTAAAATACAATAGTGTATTACAGTAAACATTGGTGGTCTATACGTACAACAGAATTTTCACTGTATAAAGTAGGAGCCATAAAATGAAGAACAAATTTGAAAGGAAAATATGGTAAGAAAGTTAAAGCAAAGGAAAATTATTACACAAGACATTAGTATGTTATAGATTTGGCAGTCAGGCAAGAGTGATGTACTTTAAGAATTACAGGTGTTCTTGAAAAGAAAATTGGTAAATTAGAACAGAAGTAAAAATCAAAGACAAATTTGAAGATACAACATTCAATCAAAAATCAATTATGTTCCCAAAATGAAAGAACTCAGCATGTTCCAGTAAACTAATGGAGAGGGGGAAAAAAAAGACTCCGAGTTTAAACAAAATTCTAGCAAAAATTTGAATTACAGAAATAAAGAGAAAATCCTATGTATATCTAGGAAGAAGATATGCTTACCTGCAAAGCACCTCAAATCAGGCTTGTTGACAAAACTAAATGTCAAAAGACAACCTATTAGATCTCACTTCTCCAAGTCCCTGCTGGTTTCTCCATGTCTGATTTGTGCTCCTTATATGTTCTCATAGTATTTTGCCCTTCTCCTATCATACAATGCTTATTACAGCGTATTCTATTTACATATTTGCTTGTCTCCCTTTAGTAAACTCTAAGGTAAGTCTCTGTAAAACTGAAATGAAATAATAATGAGATAAGGTAAAACTGACTTTCTCTAAAGTTTAATCTCTGAAGCAAAAAGTATTTGAGAAAAGTCCATGGCTAAACCCTTCCCATCCAAAAAAGACAGAGAAAACACATTTTCTTTCTTCTTCACGTACCATCATGGTTTCTGGACCATCATATATTTTAGTAAAGGCAAGAACCAATTTGTATATTATGCTTGCTGATGTGTCCCAAGCTACCTAGACTAGAATAATGCAAAACATGTAATAGCCACATGATTAATATTTATTTAATTAAAAAAAAAAAAAGTTCAAGACGATTCTGACTCATAGCGACCCCATAGGACAGAGTAGAACTGTCTCATAGTGTTTCCAAGGAGTGGCTGGTAGATTCAAACTGCCGACCTTTTTTGTTAACAGCCAGGCTCTTAACCACTGCTCCACAAGGGCTGCATTTGTTTAACAGAAGTATAGAAGCACAGAATTAAATTTTTAAGCTATACCCAATGAAAATGTGTTAATACTTGCTGTTTTATCTTCTCTTTAAGGTTTGCAACTGCAGTTTGGTGGGATCCCTCAATTTCCAATGCAATGTAAACACAGGCCATTGCAAATGTCATCCAAAATTCTCTGGTGCAAAATGTACAGAGTGTAACCTAGGTCACTGGAATTACCCTCACTGCGATCTCTGTGACTGCTTCCTGCCTGGAACTGACGGCACAACCTGTGACACAGAGACTAAGAAATGTTCATGTAGCGATCAGACTGGCCAGTGTACATGCAAGGTATGTGCTGCCAAAACATAGCAAGGAAATTCCTACTCAATTCTGTCAGTTGTTCCCTTTCAGCTTCATTCAGTGCTCGTTATCCCTGCTTCCGTAAGCTAAACGAACAGATAAACAATAATAAAGAAAAATGATTGCTAGATATTGTTTTCATTGATACATATTCATTTACATACAGCTATGCGCTGCTTTTCAAGAACTTATATTCAACCAAACCCCAGAATTTTTCCCAGTTAATGGAAATGATGTATTTTCAGTGGTAAAATGATATTATTTCTCTTTGTATATTTGTTTTGCTTAAACAAGAATAATCTGGAGGGGAAAAAAGACTGTTCTCTCAAGTGTCATTAGGGAAGTCACTGCTAAATAATAAGGTTTAAAAAATTGTTTTTTTAAAATTAATCTGCAATCACAGTACACTAAAAAATGTGTTTACTGCTGTGGAAGTTTGGTAAAATTTCATCATGTATAAACACTGACATTACAAACAGTGACTATCTGCAAATCTCAGCCCTCATTAATATTGTTAAATGATGTAGAAAAAAGTCAATTAAAAAGGATAAAGGGAATAGTTTCTCCTTAGATATTTCTGAGAAAATAAATCCAGGATAAGTGCTGTATCAGAGGTATCTTTTCAAGATAAAGTCTGTGTAAAAAAATGAAAGAGGAAATAGGAGGATAAAATCTGGGTACTGGTAGTTAACGTAGTCTTGAAATTTAAGAAAATGGCAGTTTTCTGCCACCAATGAAGAATGCCAGTCATAATAAAAGTACAACTGCAAGAAACCCAAAGGGATCTACATAAGTGGAAAAACACACCATGCTCATGGATAGGTAGACTCAACATTGTGAAAATGACAATTCTACCCAAAGCAATTTACAAATACAACACAATCCTGATCCAAATACCAACAACATTCTTCAAAGAGATGGAAAAACTAATCATTAAATTTATATGGAAAGGTAAGAAGCCCAGAATAAGTAAAGCACTA